CCTTTATAATATGCCGTACCACAGACAATAAACAACCTCGTACTATGAGCACAGAGTAATGCAAGTAAACGCATGGATTGTTTAAGACTTCGAACTAAAATGTCTAAACCGGAAGTGGACTTTTTAACTTGCGTGACAGACGACAACACAAAGAAACTGTAAATTTAGAAAAAAGTAGACCCAAATTAAGCCAAAACAAACGTTAATAAAACATAGCGAAACCTAAGTCTGTTGTGTCACAAAAATTACGTGGAGTACTTGTTATACGTCCTTTTTTCCAGTTCTGCGTGTTGATGAGATACAAGTACTTACATATACTAATACTGAGTATACAATATAATACACATATGTACTATTTACCTTTCACTTCATGTTTTGTATCTGACATTAAGTGAAATTGCACGTTGGTATCTGTTCTGCCACAACTTGTTTGTCGCAATCCGATGGACGAGTGGAAGAGCTTGTGGCTCAAAGTTGCATGTACTTTTGCGGTTTTTCACGACTACGACGTTGACCGTTTGCCCAGTTCTGTGCATTTTGTGCGGTAAATATGTAATCAAAATTGCACGTACAATTCCACTAACTCAACATTTTATTCCTGTAAGTCTTTAAATAATTTATTCAATTTCGGAAAACGTATTAAAGTAAACTCAAATAATTTAAATGATCTATAGGGTGTTTTTATAAGTGGAGTAGAATATCTAACTGAAAGGAAATTCGCACAATTTTCTTATTCGATTGAAAGCTTTATAATATAATTGGTGAAAATGATTTTGTTCTGGGGGTCAGGGCATTACATAGTTCCATTGATAGAAATAGTAAAGTTTTTTGCGGTAAGAACATACTAAAATCTCTAACAATATAACGGAACCCAGTAAACTCTGAACTCTGAAAAATAAATTGTTTACAACTTTATGCATTAATATATAAAATTTTTATTTATTCTTTTAAATCTATTACAATGCCTGTAAAATATTCTTCTCACTGCACACTACAATTATGTCAACTTTTTTACAACGAAACAATGTTCCCAATGCATATTCTTCTGCTTTAAAATAGCCAGAAGTCACACGGTGCTAAATCTGATAAAATGTATGTAGAACAATATGGGTTGAATTTTTGGCGAAATGACCCTGAAGAATGCAAGATTAGCATGGTGCCAAAACCTGCTGTCTGCCTATAATTTTGGCATATGTTTACTAATTCCTTCACTAAAACGTTGCATAATGCACATTTAGTATTCTTTGTTAATAATTTAGTGCAACGAACGGAATTCATAACGTACCACTTCACAACAATCGGAGAAAACTGTTAATACGACTGTGATTTATGAACGACTTTGGAGCGTTCTTTTCATTTTTGACTCATCTTTTATGACATGCATTGATCCAAGTTTCGTCTCCATATATCATGCATTTCAGCTTAATATCAGAAAGTGGTTAAATTTGTTTTTTACACCAAACGAAAAATCATACTTTGCAGATAGAAAACATCTTTCAAAATGAGCTGGTTTGATCCGAAAGAAATATTAACAGTATCAGTGAGATTTCTTATTGTTAATGGAGAACTTTTAAGCACTAAATTTTTGATATCCATGTCAAGCTAATGCTGATATATGGTGATGACAATATCCTCAAATACTTTCTACCGATTGTGAACTTTTTTTTTATAATAAAAATTGGTCAACAAAGGCCTTTTACACCTTTCTAAATGTTTCTACAGTTGATATTTCATATGAACTAGTGACCAGTCATGATACCAGACCATAAACAAACCTAACAATGAATTTTTCAAGGTACATAGGTAACTGATACATCACTCTGCAGTATTCTTTACTTTAAATGTGATAGTTTTTTTTATTAAAGAAACTATTGGGGAAAAAGTGTTTTAAGTTTTTACAAAATTATTTGCCAAACATTACTTAATAAAAAAAATTATATTGTCTAATATACACTCTAGCTTGAATCGGAGTTAGGAATTCAATCCAACTCAGACTAGAGATACTATATAGAAGAGACAGAAACTGCATATTATGTATTTGGAGAGTATCCGTCACTGATGCACAAGCGGAAAAAACACCTAGGAGGGTATTTCATAGATCGTAAAGATCCAAGACTAAGAAAGATAGGCTCTACACTGTCTTTCATTAAAGAAATAAGACTTGGAGAAACAATCTAATCCGACTAGGTGGCACAATAGTTCTTTTAGATCGCAGTACATTATTCCTTCTTTTCAATAATTGTAATATTCAATATTATTAAACATATCTCTAATGAACGTTCAGTTGAAGACTACTGCAAACTATTATTCCCATTATTTTTTATATAAAATAATTTATTCTCTTAAGAGTGTGAAATAAATGTTGGCAATATAAACGATAATTTAATGATTAAGTATAAAAGAACCAAAATCCATTTAATTACAAAGACATATTAGTCATGCAATTAGTAGATATTGAATGAAATTAAAACTGATATATGATTTAAGATATATATTTGAGTGGTTTTTTTATTCTTTTTTGACGAAATGTTTTCTTGTACATTACTTACTTACTTATTTTGGCCATAACAACCCGTTACCGAGTTTCTGACTGGCGCAGCATGTCTACCCAGGCGCCTCTGCTGCGTGCGCGCCTTCTCCAGTCTCGTACATCAAGTCCAGTTAGTGCTCCCTGAACTTGATCACTACACCGGAGAAACGGTCCACCTCTACGTCTTCTTCTGCCAACTACTACTTCAAACACCTTTTTCGCTGGAGCATCTTCATCCATTCTCATGACATGACCAAGCCAGCGAAGGCGCTGAATTTTAATGCAATGAATTATATCAATGTCGTATTAAAGCTCGTACAGCTCGTGGTTCATTCTTATGCGGAAGTCGTCGCCAACTCGTAGAGTACCAAAGATCTTAGTATTCCACTGTTACCCAATCTGATAATCAGTTCACTAGTATGTTTTGCACTAGATTTTAAATCCAATCATTCCAATATCCAATCTTTGAGCTTAAATACTTTAAAATATACAATTCGTTTTAATAATTAAAATATATTAAAATTATTTATAACAATTTGTTCAAAAAACTAATTATAAATTTATTATTACTCTTTTTAATAAAGTTATTTTTTATTACTATAATATTACTACTATGATTCAATTCTGAAATGAAAATTATTTTAACATTCATTTTCTCCTTTCACTTGTTGCCTTCAGTTTCTGAACTCAATCAATAATGCAAAATCCTTGGCAGTAGAACCGTTTAAAGTTCATCAAACAAAACAAATTCATTTTTCAGCATTTAAAATTCCATTGAAAGCCGCATAAATAATCTGAGACATGCAAAGACAGCACATAAACAGAAATACTTTCCAACTGACTGCGGACACGGTAGAGCCACATTATAAATCAAGACATACCCCAGAGCGTAGTGGTATTCCAATCGTTTACATCTCATGTTTGCTACCAATTACATCAATTTTGGAAATGTAGACTTGTACAAACCTGACGCAGACCTACCTACGAGCATAATCTGCGCCTTCGGTAAGCATTTTTAATTTTACTTTTAAATACAAGTGCCGTTGCGGAACCCAGTACGTATGAGTAACATTTTAGCAGAATGCAAAATATTAAAAAATTGCGCATAGGTAAGCAAGGGAAGTTAGATAAACGAGAACCTATAAAACATCACTGGTAATAGCATTAATTTTCGCTGTTTTAACTTTGAAATACTTTCTGTGTTTGTAGTTTGCTATTAGTTTGTAGTTTTCCTTTCAGTCAGGTTGTTTTAAAGGTCGAATGTGAAATCCAATTAGTGATAAGCATCTTTCGCGCTAAATTAATAGTGTACAGTCTACGGCAAAACAAGATATCTTATCAAAGAAAAAATGCAAACTAAGTTAAAAAAAAGATTTTCAGATATTGTGCATATAAACGAATTAATTAAAATTAAATTATATAAGCATAAGAACATACAATATATCACAGTATATGTGTTTTTGTATGTAATGTACTTTATATGTTTATAAACTTAAAGGTTAAAGCTCAATCACAATTTATTTAAATTGCTGATTGACATGACAGATACTTTTCCTGAATATCATACGAAAAAGGATGTAACAACAATTGTTACATTAAATTGACAACTAAATTTAGTGCTTATTATATAAAGGTCATTTAAGTTATTAATAAGATATAAACATTGTATTATTTCATATTCTATATATTAAAGTAATTATTACGTCTTTTCTAGAAAGCATTTTTTTATATTAAACTAAAATTAACTTAAAAGTATATTTTTTTTCAATTGGTTTCATTGAAACCAGACACGTAAGCAAATGCGAAATGTAATGAATCAAAGAATTCATTTATCTATATTCTTTATTAATACTTTATGATGTCTCTAAACGCTTAAAAAAGTGTAATCGCTCCAGAATTTTTTCTGAAAGAACCAGTAACACCAGGCCTGGTTGGTTGGTTGGTTGCAGTGGCAAGCCATTAGATAAATTCGATAAATTCCATGTACCTCGATTTTTCGCCGTTTTGCTACCAAATTCCTCTCAAGAACCCTAGTATAGAAGAGTAGAAACTAAATCCATCCCGCCGAATTTTGATGATTGAATAGGTCTTTACAGGCTTGCAATATAAAAAACTTCTTATGCAAGTATGAGAAGTTTTTCAATGACTGGTTTACTTAATTAAGTACATCTCATTGAGAGTCTTGCTAATCAATCATATACACATTGAGAGTCTTGCTAATCAATCATATACACGTATTTGTTTAAACTTTTTATAAATTTATGTAAACATAAATAATTAATCAAATAATTTTTTTTATTATGTTTTTTAGACAATCTATATTAAGTAACTTGTATCTGTCCGTAAGTTAGAACTGAATAACAACAACAACAACATAAAAGCTATGTCTAACCAAAAACAATATTTTGAACTTTAACTTATAAAAGAAAAAGAAATAACAAAAATTATTGAATGGATTAAATTTTTATATAAGAGGGCACAAGGTCTAAAAAAAAAACAAAATGTCAAATGTAAGTTTAATTAGAAAAAAATTTTAAAATAAATTGTAAAGCATTAAAATAAATCTATATATTGTAAATAAGCAATATTTATATAAAAAATATATTATTAATTATTTATTAATGTATATTCTATAAACTGATTATACGATATGTCAGTTAGAGTTATTACTATGCTATTATAGTGTGTCAGTTAGAGCTATTACTATACTATTGTAGTAATGGATGTAACTATACTATTATAGTAATAGTTCTAACTATATTATTATAGTAATAGCTCTAACTGACATATAGTACAATCTGATTATAGTATATAGTTAATAATATCTATAATTTTTTTTTTGTACATAGTCCCTTTTTATGGATGAAACTAATGGAAACGGTGTCTTCGCGTCTAAGTCGCAAAATACGAATAACCCAACAGTAATCAGCAACGGTAGCAATATAGCGTACAACATCAATAACATAATGCATGCAACATCAAATCCAAATCCAACCACATCAAACTCCGCAACATTGCCCACTTCCGTATCAAATGAGGATCTTAGTCAAAGCCTGTCAGAATATACAGATGCCGATGAAAGCATATCAGCTCCAACTGAATTTCTTGCTGAGGTAAAATAATAGAGGTTTCTTTTATTAATATAAATAAACAATAATATTACAAACTATATATATTATTGTATATATAATTTTATAAATAATGAATATAATATAATACATATTTGTGTATATTTATCTTATATATAAAATTAACATTGTTAAAATGTTAGTTACCGTACTCCTCCAAAACTGCTTTACCGATTTTTACCAAATTTTATATGCGTATTTAGTAGGTCTGAGAATCGGCTACTATCTATTTTTCATACCGCTAAAGTGATTAGGGTGTCCCTATCCAGCAAAAATATCTTTATTGCTTTAACAAAAATTTTTTTATTTTTTTGACATAAATTTTTTTATATTTTTGAAAAAGAAAAATTTTTTTCTTAATATTTTATGTAACTACGCCAACAAGTACATCGAGCATTTACATCCACTTCGTTTCTTCGTCTTCGCCTTGCATGGCAGATGGAAAATGTACTAAAAATTTTTCTAAAGATTTCACTAATGATACTATAACAAATACCGACGGATATCCAATATATCGTCGAAGAAATCCCGATAATGGGGGACAATGGCGGGTGGTGCCGTATTCGCCTCTGCTAAGCAAGACATTATATGAGCATTTAAATTTGAAAATACAACAGTTGTTGCCAGGGAACTTGGTATCATACAAATCTATTGATTTTAAATTAATAATTTAATAAATAAACTATAATAACTTAAATAATATTGTTTGGCGTTTGTTATTTTTATTTTCCTTTTCGTTCATAGCGCTCCATGCCTATTTCATGCATATACCACATACTTACACATTTATAATAAGTAAGGTACTTTTTGTCTACACTAGAATTAATCTAGAAACTAGAAATAATTTATAAGGCAAAACAACGTTTGTCGGGTTATCTAGTTTAAATATAAATATATATATAAATTTATGTATGGTTTTCTATTAACGTTGAAATAAAAATAAAATTTTTTAAAGAATTATAAATTATATATATTGTTTATAGAATTTATATAATATTTTTAACATATACTATCTATGAACGTCAATTTAACATATAGAAATTTTATATTTACAAATATATAATTTATATATTTGCAATAATATAAAAATATAAATTTTCTAATAATATATATATAAATATCTATCTTTTTTTTCTAAAGTTTCTTTCAGCCGTTATGTTAAAGGACTACAAAAAAGCTTTAAAGTATTGCAAATTAAGTAAGTCGTGTTAAAATTTTGATGTGAACCAAAAAAAATTTAATATTTTTTAATACTTTTTTTAAGTCTTACAATATGAACCAAATAATGCCACAGCCAAAGAATTTTACCCGCTTATACTGGATAAATTGCATATTGGTAAGTCCCAAGGGAAATTAAAAACTTTTCATACGCATTTTCAGGCGAAAATGTGTGACAGTAGACTTTAGTCTGTTAACAAAAACATTTCAATACACAGGTACAACATCTAGTGACAGCGATGAAAATTACAACAAATCCACATCACCTGAAATACATTCGACGGGTGATAGTGACGAAGCAGCAGCATACGATGACCAACAGTCAAATGGCATAGTTGACGCAGTTGCAGATGATTATGGTGCACAGGAAGATTTCTCAGGGGAAGAACAAAATAGCAATGTTTCAAATATAAGTAACGATGGTAGTAGCAGGAATAGCAGTAATTGTGCTTCATTGGAAGAAGAATGCCTTAGCGATGACGAGGAAGTGGAAGCTGATGAAGAGGATGAAGATGAGGACGATGATAATGTGAGCAGCAGTGGTGATGATGGTGGTGGTGGTAGCGCTGGAAATGTATCAAATTCATCAGGAAACTCAGGTGGTGATGGACGAAGTCGCAGTGATAATACAACGCATTCGTATTCAAGTCTTCTTTTAGAAGAAGAAGATGATATAGCACCGATCAATCTGCAATTCAATAAAGATTTAACAACACCTGATTTAGATGTGAGCAATGGTAAGTTATTATTATTTATGTGAATGATATTTCTAATTAATTTATATAAAAATATACAATTTTTTTTTAGGCAATAAAATACTTTCAGCTTCGTGCAGCGACTCGGAATCCCCAACTGAACCATTAACACAGCGTTTGGCTGCTATATTACTTTCCAAATGTGGTGTATCAAACAACGGCGAGAACTATTAACTTTATTCACAAACTTCTTATAAAAACATATTTACTCCTTAAAATGTATATCTTATTATAGACTTTTAATGTACATGAATTTATTCCACACTCCATATATTGATATAAACTATTTTTGATTATTTTAAGATATGATTATATATCATATTTATTCATTTAGAGTTAAGTATAAACCACATTAATAGCCTAAAATGTATGTACATATAATATATATGCGTGGTAATAGCGAAGTTCTAATAATTGATTAGCTATTTGAATTAAATATTATATTAAAATCGTATTATTTTCCTAGAACTTATTTATTGTCTAAGGTTCTTAGAGTGATTCAAATATCCTTAGAACAGTGCAAGAGTAATAATAACAGACGTAGCGATTCTGAAGCTTCAGTAAAATTAAAGATACTGATATTTAGTAAATTACTTTGTAACTAAAGTAATTAAAACTATGTATACAATAACTACATGAATATATACATAAATTGTTATATAATTAAATTAAATTTTATTTATTTTTTGTGAATTTAGTTTATTATTAGTAAAAACTTTAAAATTTTTAAAAAATTCCGTAAACTTCTACAAAATCTTTATACACGTTTATACAATATTTTATAACAGGTTTTAAAAGTATATATTAATATAAAAATATGTACCCAAATATATATTTATTTATTTTTTTTATTAATTATTTTGATTAATGAATGATATCTATCTAAAATGAGAATGTTATAATTATTTCAACAACGATGAATATTATATTATATTAATATTATTTTATTTTTTTATTAAAATAAATCACTTAATTATTAAACGCATTTTAAAACAGTTAAAATTACACAACAATTAAATTTCATTACTACATATATATTATATATTAAATATATTTCCTTAATTTATTAAAAACTATTACATAAGTAAATTTTTAATTAATTCTATTATTTATATAATTAAATTCTGTGTTTTTATATATGTAATGAAAGTTGTAATATGAACACTTTCAAAAGGGAACAAGTGTTAAATGCTAATAATTCAATGAATAAAAACTTTTGATTTTTATATTCTTAAATAAAATAAACAATATATATAGATATATAAATATATATAATTATTTTTAATTAAAAATAATGAATTAAAATTTTAATAATTTACAAAACATTGTATTAATAACAAAAATATGGTTTAAACCGATTAAAACATTAAATTCAAATTTATAACCTTATATATTTTTAACTAACATTTTACTATCATTCATTCTTATAATTAAATATTAACTTCGTAGTTATACATATCGTACAAAAAATGAGAAATATCTCACTTATTAAAATAAGATACATATATCCATACTCATATATAGATATATATATATAACATGTATTCCTAATAGTTAAGCGCACAGTTTAACATAATAATAATAATTTTTTAGATAATAACACATCATAAAAATTTAATAACAATTTAATATAACATTTACAATAACATACAATAGTTTATTTTTAGTTAAAAATTTATAATCATCATTAATCAAATAAAATATATGAAAAGCCCAGCAAAGAAACAATAATTTTTTGATCGGAATAAACCTTAAGTTACGAAATTAATTATACGAACTTTTTATAAATATTAATTATTATATAACAAATTTTGAAAATATTGCGATTAAATTATTTCGTTCATGTCAGATATAAAACTAAAACTTCAATACAAAAAATTTATCATTTAAAAACTTTCTGCAATATGGTAAATGCTAGTATTTAATATATATTCCATGTCCTAAGTTAGAATGTTGAAGGTTTTCATAATAAATGACATTAATTATAATAAATTGCATTTATTGCAATAAATATCATTTATTATAATAAGTTACATTTAGTGTAATACATAACATTTACTGTATCATAATGTTTATTGCAATAAATGACATAAGAACATTTATAACAATATATCACATTTATCTTAATAAATAACACTTATTATAATAAACTACGCTTATTGTAATAAACGACATTTATTATAATAAATGACACGTTATAATGAATGATTTTTATTATGATTTGAGTCGTAATAAAGCAATGCAGTTATCTTGCAGTCAAATCATAATATTTAATATTTTATATTTGTTAATATTGGCTAATAAAAAGAAAATGCTTTATATGAGATACTTTCAAAATGTCAAAAGATTGTGCTCTTTTTTCTATTAACACTAATTCATGTTTACTATAATTTATTACTTTAGGAAATATATGTTTTATGATTTTAGTTGTATTTGAATTTCTAACCTGTTTTGATCATTTGTGATTAACTTATTTCCATCTTTATTCATCTAAAAACAAAGCATGCCATACCTATACCGTACCGTGATTTTGCATCTATCATAATATGCAGCATATGACAACACAGAATACCGTAGTGTCGATCGTTTAATAAATATTAATCGCTACTTTTTATAAATATGAAAAGAGAATATAAGCTTTTCAATCTTTGAGTAGTTATTGAACATATTCTCGTTAGTTGTCAAAAATTCACTAAACCCAATTTTATTATAAAATCTCTTTTCTCTTTTCTTTTGGATCTTTTTTGATTTGAGATCCATATTATTTGTAATTTGATAAAATACTATTTTGCTGATAGGACCCCAAAAGACAGTTCAGGGTCCATGAGAATGATTTATCACAAATTGTATTTGATTTAAAAGAATTATGTTTAAAACTTCTAAATTTTATAATTAAAGATTTACTTACTATTATTGAAATTTTTTAAAGGTCGGGGTCTTATAGGCCGATACATAAATATGGTATAATAAAATGTCATGTAAATTACTTTTGTAAAAGCTGTCATCGTGGAGTAAAAGAATAAAGTACTTACTCTAATACTGCCCTGCACTTAGCTATATATAAGCTTCTCATACGCTCATAATTTCTATAAATTTATTAATACTGCATACACCATACATTTTATTTAAGGTTGTCGCTAATTCCATGAGTAGTAAAAAGCCTAACATATCGTAAATCTTACGTTTATATAAAGACGTAACTACTTCTACTTCGTAACTAGTTTGAAGAACAATTTTATATAACAAAGACACATTTCTTAAAAGTAGTAATATCCGATCAATTGCTTTAAAGCCTCGTAATAACTTATTTTCTATCAATATTGTCAATAAAATATTTTTGCGAAATATCAGAGTATCATATATAAAAATACTTATATACCAGCCTAAGTAAGAATATTTTAAGTTCAAAATATTTAAATAAAAAATATATATTTTCGTTTTATATTTAAAATTCATGTAATATTTAATATCTACTATTATATTACCATAAACTCAACTAATAAATTAATTACTTTGTGCAAAACTTTCATGGTCCAATTAAATTTCATAAAATTATGTAAATTTAATATTAATCATAAAAATTAAATTGTAAAGCCCTTAAAGTAATACTTAAAAATTTGATTATATGCGACATTCTATTATAACAAAAAATTAAGTTTATTTATACTTATATATATATCTAAAACTTTAATGTACATTAGTATAATATTATATAGAACGATTTTTGAACGTGCATATATGATATATCCATAAATGGAACAGAATGAAAAGACTTGATGATGCTAAGAAATTACTTAAAAACCATATAAAACACAAATATTTATATTATAATTTGTTAAAAATTTATACGTAACATATACATATATTTATATACAACACAATACATAAACCTATTATTAATTATATAAAGAAACAAACAAAACGTATATATATTACAATATAGAAAAATATTTAAACTAAGAAAATTGTAACAATTTAATGTTCTTATAAAAGAAAAGCAATAAAATAAAATCTGTCACATAAAACCTAGAAGCAGAAAATTCGTCTTTTCTTTATTATTTATTATATTCTAGTTCTAAAATAACCTAAATATTTTAAAAATATATTTTAACTTTAAAAATATAAAACACTTTGTCCTTTTTACACTCATGGAGCATTCCATAAGGAATATGCAGCATGCCAAAAATATTCGAATACTAAATGGCTACATATCCAGAGGATTCATAACCCTTATCAAGAAAGCATTGATTATAGTTCAATCTGCAATAAAACATAAATAAACGCTTACCACAATTTACCTATAGTGGGCTATAAAATCATCGTTAAAAACTCGTTAAAATTCTTGTCATATCACAAGACCCAGCTAGCCCAAAACTCACCCAAGACTGCCCTATCAGCTAAACAAAACTGCGTATGAACAAGGCACGCAGAAATACTTGGCCTATACTCTAACTACTTTTATCTAAATTAAGGTTCTGCGGATAAAAAACATACTCTACTCTACGTTATATGTCTATCATATTTTATAATTAAAGATATAACCTCTTTTATAAACAATCGGTTTAGTTTTCTTTTACTTAAATTGGGACGTTGAACTTTTTAAAATGGACGCTCTTCGTATACTAAAAGTCTGACGTGCAGTGAATCATCTGTGCCTCATCTGCTTATAATAACAGGTCATTATTTGTCATCAAATAAGCTTGCGTCCACAAAACTACTGATTCAACATAGCCTAACCCAACTCTTAAATTAATTTCTATATCAATTCCGTTTATCTGATTTATGTCAGATAATCAGTTGAGTTATACTGTTATAAGAAAGTTCTTAACACTGCCTTGAATATGGTACTTATATATCATTAATGATCGTCCACAGAAAAGTCATAGAAAAGCAACATATATTAATTTTATATAAATTTATTTTTTTATTTGTGAAATACATTCTCCAAAAAAAATTTTTTTTTTTTTAACTTTTTGTTATATATATTTTTTGACCAAATAACTTTCAATCTATAAACAATTCTATTTTTACTTTTTGTTCTAAATACTCTATTTTACTTTATTTACTTATGCATTTAAATCTTTATTTTGTTCAAATATTTTTTTTTTTTACTTTTTATTAATTATTTAATATGAGTATATTTAATGCTTTTAAAAAAATATAAATTTATCTGTTTACAGTTGATGAATTATATTAATTTTTAAAATGTCTTAAAAGAGAAATTTTATTTCTTAAAATTATTTATTATTTGATATGTTCAAAAGAAAAAAAAGTACAGTGAAAATTTCATAAAATTTACGATCTAAGATTTTTGACTATTGTTTTCAAAACTTAATTTTTCGTATGTTTTTATACAAATATATATATTTTATAATATTTAATATTATACCATTCTTTTTCGATTCAGCACCATAAATACCATTTCAAGTTGAATAATTATTATTAAATAATATTTGCTTGAATTAATTTATATAAATAAAATCAGGTAATGAAGCATTTGTTAATTATTTTAATTTTTATTTTTAATTTTTATATTTAATATTATACACAAACAAAATTGTTTAGATAATTAAAAGAAATCAGGTAACTATTATTTATTGAATTTTGAAGTTGAATTTTGAAATTGAATTAAAGCGAAATATTATTTGAATATTGAAAATAATAACACAAGAAATATTTAAGAAATAATAAAAACACAAATGTGTTAATAAAATAATACTAAATCTATACTTTGAAGTATATTTACTGGAATTATTAAAATTTAATTTACAGAATTATATAATAACATTGCTTTGAAAAAATAATTATATATTAAATTTCGTCTTTTATAGACAGTGATGGCTAACCTTTCTGTAAACGCTTGCTAAATTTTATAATTATTTGGTTATTGTTATATAAAATCTAACATTTCCACATATCCTTCAAATATGGAAAACAATAACATACGATAGGTCATCGCTATACTATAAGCCATAGGTCACCGCTAAAATAACCATCCTAGCACGCAAAAGAACTAGGTTTACAGTAGGTGTTATAACCATTCATCAAAAGCCAAATATTAGAACACTTTTCTAATAATTTCTTGAAATTTTTATGTTTATAAAATACGGATAATACTCAAATATCAAAAACCTATTTCCGAAACGTAAATTTTTTTAGACACCTAACATATCGTATATGTTTCCAGTATATTTATTCTTTACTTAGAGATGGTCATAATTGTTTAGTTCCTTCAATTAACGAAAAAGCTAATAACTAATATGTTTGTCTGGAAATAATTTGTTTTGATAAATGGATATTAGAATCAGTTTTAACTATAAAGAATAAGACCTAGTATTATAATTAAAAAAAAAACTAAATAAAATATAATAAGAAATACTTTATATATTAAACATATGTATATCATAAAACATGAAACGCATAATTTTAATATATATTATTTTGTCATATTTCTAATTTTTAATTTATCTATTATTTAAAATTATATAAAAATGAAATCATTAATAATAAAATAAATAATAAAAAAAATTAATATATAGATATATTATAGATATATAGATAAATTATTATAGATAAATAAACAGCTTTGAAAATAATTAAAAAATTTAAAAAATAAATTACATATTTCCCCCAAATGGGTTTCCATTCCTTATATATGTTTATTTGATTCAGTTTTATTAAGTAAATTTTATGTAAAAGCTTATTATGAGACGCACTATAGATTAGCTAATATATATGACAAAATTTTCTATACATTATATTATTAATTATTTATTAACTTTAAACAGAAACTTTAATTGAAATATTATCAGGTGAGCATTGTACTGTTCAGAATAATATGTGTTTAATAGTTTTAATATTGATTTATAATTATATAATTTTGCAATATTTTTTAAAGGTAGGTAATGTTAGGAAATCTGGGTTTAACAAACTATTGGCACACAGATTAAATTTATTAAGAAAATAAAATAAAATATTAATAAAAATGCTAATTTATATTGGTAAAAAAAAATGAAAAATATTGGTAAAAAAAGAATATTCTTAACATTAAAAATTGAATAATAGATAAAATTAATTATAACAAATAAATTTGAAATATAATTAAAACAAAATTTTACTCAATGTACAAATCTATTTTTTTTATTTTAAAACAAAAGTGTACACAAATCTTAATAATAAATTAATTTAATTAACAAAGGCACAGTTTGAAGTGATTATAATTATAAAAAATATTAATTATCTTTTCTAATAATATAAAATAACAGTTCATTTAACTTTTACATAACATAAAATAATAAAAACTAAACCACAAAAGGAAAGTTGATCTGTGTTTTATCACTAAGCATATTAAATAAAAAAAATGTTAAATAATATAAAAAACCTTACAAATAATTATTCAATATTTTGCGAAGTGCTGTAATTTTTTTTTTTTTTTTTGGTATTATTTAACAAAATATTTACATAATAATAAAAAAATAATATACCATATTAACAAGCTAATGAATTCATGAAACTGTCAAGAAATACATATATTTTTATAAACATTTTTGATATTTATATACATTCAAGATGATAAGAATACATATCTAATCTAGTAGTAGTGGTCATAATATATATTTTATTATCTGTATATATACATTAAAACTTTTCTAAAACGGACACTGAAAAGACTAGCAAATCTGTTCGGTTAAGAATACTGTCCGTTTTAAAATAATACGAACTATAACACTAACAGATAACTCTGTTTGTACTCATATATTTATATAGAAATACATATAAATGAGATTTGGTATATTTATTTCTTTGCTCGTTTGAGACTATCCAAGCGATTTTGAAGAAACAGTAATAATTATGAAACAATAGAGAACAATGCTAGGATGTATTTAATCCAATAGGTGGTACAAAAAAGTCGGGAATGCTTTTTTAAGTAAAAATATAAAAATCATTTTTCTTCGTTTAATAATTGATCAAAGTGTCATAAGTAAAATTTTAAATTTTTATTTTTGTTCAAATTATTATTAACATTTTACTATATAAAAAAAGATATTCCATAAAAAAAGTTCTAGAAACAGTGATGTGATGAGACAAACAGAGGAAACAAAGCATAATATATATATTGTGAAAAGTCATAACCAAGCGTTAGTTTAACCAATCTAACAACAATAAATTAATATTTATATATGAGCCCGTTATAAAAAGTATTTTTTATTAATATTTAGTTTAGCATATCCCCTAATAGAAAAGTTCAAATGCACTAAACTTATTTGAAGCTATTCCAGCACCTTTACAGGTTAACAATGGTTCAAATGCATATGGGATTACAGTATTATCAAATTAAATTGCATATGTATAAATCATCAATTTAAATTCAAAATCTAGATGATATCAAGAAATACAAAAAATTATACATCTATCAGTGTACCTATTCAATACTTGCAATAATTCCAAATAAGAAATTGTTTTTTGTTTTCAATAAATTTGATTGAGTATATATAAAAAATTACTTTCTATTCTCTTAATTCTACTATAACCAGTTTTATATAAATCATGAAAATTAAATTTTTTAAGAATATTAATTCAAAAATCAAAACATAATTTCTATTTAATTTATTTTTCTTTAGGTGCAGTAGAGCACGAAATGCTAGCTGTATATTATAATAAAGCATGTGACGATCTCAAATAACAAATTCTGTGACCAAATAACACAGTAAATATGCAAAATGCCAACAAGAAAATACATTTATTTGAAGTATGTTTTGATATTCCTGTCTTGCACTATTATTCGGTTATAGAGCTCAAGATTATAAATACCCTTAATATCGGTGTATATAACAAATATTAATAATTTGCTGACAATGTAAATAAAATAAAATAAAATATAAAATAAAATAAAATTATATAAAATAAAATAAAATTATATAAAATAAAATTATATAAAATAAAATATAAAATAAAATAAAATAAAATAAAATAATATAATAAAAATAAAATATAAAATAAAAAATATGCTTAGTGATATTAGTTTAGTGCTCTGGTGGTAAAAAAAAAATACATCATATTACTGGAAGTATATTTAAGGGTTTGTTACCTATATTTATTAACTGTTGTGGCAGTTTATGAATTAAATATTTTTGTATTTATTGTATTTGTTCTAATTTGATGAAGTTTTATATAAAAGTTATTGCAATTCGATAAAACTTGTTTCAATTTTCAGTCGTGATTTTGTTAAACATTATTTACATTAATTATTCGTATATTTTTTAAAAATAGTACCTTAAACTAATTTTAGTTATTAAAATTTTTTTTTGAACTAAAAATTCATTAAACTATTACATATCTTACAGAAAAAACTTAATTAAATTGTTTTAAAAATCTATTTAAATGTGTATACAACAACTACACTAAAATTCCTTACTAAATCACTCCGTGAACAGAGTGATTTAATACCTTTTCTATAAACAATTCGTCGTTTCCTTTGCATCGTCGCATGTCGTATTATTTTCAATAAGTAATTGTGTTGTTGGATACTTATTAATTTGGGAGAAACGCTCCATAACGCATGATGAAGATAATCGTGCTTCCGCATCATGATCCCAGCACTCTTCCATAGTATCGCAAAATATGCTTAAACCCTTTAAAAAATAAAAACAATAAAAAAATTATAAAAATTGGTTTTTGTTAAAAACAAAACTAAAAGTTGCTCAAGTTATACATTTTTGTATATACACGATAAGTGTTCGAAAAGTTTTGCGCTCAAAAAAAAAAACAATTTTTGAAATTTTTTGATACTGAGTTTTTAATAATATCTCAACACGATACACTGTTGCCAACAGTACTACAACTTCTTTAACCAATGTATGGTGTATTGAATTAAGGTTATTAAATATCAATATCAATTTACAGATACTGCACCTTCATTTGGTGACAATTTTCGAAACCCGAGCTAAATTTCTAATTTTAGAAACAAAGACTGGTCTCTGAGAATCAAATATAATAATTGATGTATATAATTGAATAATTAATTTAACTTTGGCAATTAGTGGAATGTGAGTATGTGCATCATTTTGACGAAACAAGCTTTGTTCCCATTGCATATAGATGTAGCTTTCTTCGTAATTGGAACATTTAATTTATTCAGTAATATTAATAAGCAACACACTCTTGCTATTTCGAAAAAATCCGAAGCCATAATACTTTCAACACCTTTATCAAACCACGATGTATAGCGAACCACGATGTATTCATGTTTTTATTAGCATTTACAAAACTATACAAAAGCATAAACTTGTTTTGCTTGCATCGATCTAATCAAAAGGATAAGTGTATTTAATTTATTGTATTTTCAAGCCAAGGCCTGCATACATGGCCTTCAAAGAACTAATCATATCATCGCACTAAAATCTTTATGCAAGTTGGTCGATCAAAAAAAATTTTTTGAAATAAATTTAACATAATTTCTCCATAAAATCAAAAAAAAATTACTGTGAAGCATATAATTCATATTCGAACGCAAAACTTTTCTAATAACCTATATATATTGCCAATATACTATTTTAATAACTTTAACAACTTATATATTATTATCTTATATCAGTGTAAAAGAAAGTTTCCTTAAAATTGTGTTAATACAATACTTTAAAATTAAATAAAAACAACAAACGGTCTTTTCACACAACTACTACTCACTGGATGCAAGCGCCATGAATCTAAAATGCGCGGTCTTAATTTTTTTGCAACAACGTTTTCTTGTACTTCATCCAAAGTTGGACGCTGACCAAGCTAAAAAGAAATAACCAGTTTATAATCAGAAACATATTATGTAGTAGTAAAAATTTTAAATTACCTCTGCTTCAAATGGCAACTGAAAATCACCTACAGGACCCACAATATCACAGCGGGATACCATTTCCCATAGCACCAACCCACAAGCGTACACATCAATACGCAAAAAAGCATCTCGATTAAAATTAATAGCTCCTTCCAATACTTCTGGTGCCATATAACGTCTTGTACCAACTTGTCCATGCGTATCGCCACAAGGTTTACCTTAATATAAAGTAAAATTTAAACATTTTAATATTTATTTGCAATTAGATAAATAATTTAAAAATACCAGGTTGAAATATCATTGCCAAACCAAAATCAGCAATGCAAGCAGTTAAATCAGCTTTAAGTAAAACATTTTTCGATTTAAAATCTCTATGAGCAATGGACGGTTTTAATCCTTCCGTTTTAGTTGCTGGAATTTCCTCATGTAAGTGCATTAAACCATGCCCTATCGATTCTGCAATTTTACATAACTCCAACCATGTCAAGGTATGGGATTTCAAATAGTCGCAAAGTGAACCGTTATGCTGGTAAGCAGATATAAGCCAATACTCTGGTTGCAATTTTTCTGTATGTTTTTCATGTCCCAAAAATTCTAATATATTTGGATGGCGCATACGGGGCAACTAGAAATAATTAAAATTCAAAAAAAATTATTAGTATATTTTTAAATTTAATATATATAAAAAATTTTATTACATAAATTTAATTTTTAATTTTTTCCATTTCTTTTCAATGTATCCCTAGAATAGGTTTTTAATTACAATTTTAATTTTATTCAACCTATTATAACTCAAATAGATATATAAATCTAACATTAAGTTATATTCTGGAATAAATAACTAAAACGATTACAAAGTTATTTCGGATTGAATTATATACTGCCCAATATCTATTAACTCTTTATTTGTTGTTGTAATAGCACACTGGGACCTACTTGGAGGTATTTAAAAGCGCTTGGCCGTCGAGATCGAAGTGTGGCCTCGGGGCGTAGCCCTTGCCATTCTTAGAACCAACTCTTTACTTAGAAGTATTATTTAGCTTTAATTATTCGTTTATAATTATATTACGAGTTCCAGTGAGTGAACCTCGTCAGATTACTAAACATTTCTTAATTTTTTAGTAAATTAAGGTCAAGGTCCTACGGAATCCTGACTATTTATTAATTTCGGAATCACTTCAAGGCCCTAATAAAGCGCTAGTTATATTTAATTTTCTATCTGAACACTCTTAAGAGAGAGCTAAAGACAAGGTTAACATATAACATAACTTTATACCTTATATATTTCAGTTTCCGCAGTAAATGAATCCTTTTCCTGCATGAGAAATCTTTTTACAGCTACATCCTGACCATGTAGTTTAGCATGCCATACGTCACCAAATCGTCCACTAGCTTTTAGTTCAAGAAGTTGGATAGGGCGATTACTTAATAAGGGCGATGCATTCGTAACTTCGGTTTCGTTCTAAATAACATTATAAAAACCTATTTAATAAAAAGTAAATTATTTAAAAAAAATTTGGTTATTTACCGTAGGAATTTCATTAAAATTAGATTGCTTCCGTTTCCGATAACGTATTGCAAACGCAGATGCTACTGCTAATATGAGTAATAAACCGAATAAGCCCGCACCAAGTATAATATAATTAACCGAAGTTTTCTCCTTTGGCACTAAAATGCAAAATTAAAACAAACGAATTAACAATATTCAAAATTTTTAATAATAATATAAATCAATACATAAAAAATAAAAAATAATATTGAGATAAATGAGGTTATCTAAAAAAAAAAACAGAACTGAACTTTTGCAAGGTCTACTAATATAGAAAAAGTCCATTAATATTTAATTAAAATATATATACCAAAGACTCGAAATCAATCTAGAAATGTTTCCGTTAAATTCTTTCTAGGATATAATAAAGATCTACACTGGTATAAATCAGATAAATTTTTATTTATTCATTCACACCATTTAATTAAGTTTACGTTGAATTTGTTTTAGGTGGTTTTTGACTCTTAAATTTAATGATCTTTAAAAATAAAACATTACAAATCAAAAATAGTTAAAATATCATATATATATTTGAACGAATATTTAGTTAGTTCAAATGAACTAAAATGTCGGAGCTCTTCCAAACTGTTAGAGGTGCTCAAAACTGTTCGAAGTGCTCAAAGCGGCTCAAAACTGTTTGTGCTGCTCAACTTTTCAAACAGCTCGTATAATATATTATTAAATAATGGTTTATTTAATACTATAATTTAAGCATATTTAAAAATAATTTTAATCGGAGCAATTAAATGCTGCAATGGGCTTATATTTTCTTTACAATATATACGAGTATATGTATATATACGTTTGGGTTTCAAATTTCAAAAATTTGAATAAAATATTAAAATGTGAAGCTTACAGGTTAATAACATTTGAAGTGGAGAAATAGGAAGGCGCAACAACCAACGGAAGAAAAAATGAAAGTTTCTCCCCTAATTTTTAAACAGCAGAGCAGTGTTCAAGTGTACATAAAATCAAAATGAAACGAAACGTGCCTAAACTAAAAGTGCATAACAACATTTCATGATGACGCGAAGGGATTTGGTTTGGTTAGGCAATATGGAAAAAATGGCACCCCTTTTTTAAAAATTCAACATTCACAAAAATATAAAAGCTGCTCTAAAATGAAATAATAAATGAAAACAAGAAGAAAAAAGCCAAACACATGCCAACAAAGTTCCACAAAAATTTGCTGGTGCGCTTAGAGTTCGTTAACACGGTATTTACGTGTAGCAAGAGTAGCATTAGCTCCTGCAAAATAAATAACATACTGATGCTACTGCAACAGTCCCCAAATTGTACACGCTCCCACTCTACATTATAGCAATAACATACAAAATATATAAAACAAAGTAAAAAATTGGGGTTAGCACAGCATCGAGCTTCATAAACACGTGCCGCAGCCACAAACTCGTGCATGAGATTGCCTGCATAGCTGCCTAGATGCCTAGCTGCCATGCTACAATGCTACCATGCTACCTTCTGTTTTCCGATGTATGAACACGTAAATATTCTCATTCTTAAGTTACCTTGCGTTGTTGCTTCAGTTGTAGTGGGTATCCACTTTTGTTCTGTATTGCACATGGAGCCCTTACAGCAGCAAAAGTGTATATTATTAGGACGTGGTTCGGCAGTGTTTACACATTCGGTTTCTTTACATTGATCGTCGATGAAACAACCCTTCATAATTATTTTCGTATCACCTACAGATAAACAAGACAAATAAAGGAAATATGTTATAAAATTGTATAATTTATGATATATAGAAATAGATAATTTACCTGTTCTGTCATCTATGGACCATAATGAAAAGCATTTGGATAGTTTATCCGATTCGACTTTACATTGCTTCACCTGAGTGGCACAATTCCCAGTTATATTGCAATCCGTCTGATTGTAATACTCGCAATCAATTGTATGTCCTTCAGGTAAGATAGCTCCATCCGTCAAATGAACTAAATACATGCCAACATAGAAACGAAAATCAAAAACAAAATATAGAATTTGAAAAATGGAAAGTAAATATTATATAAAAATAATATTATATATCAGGGTTCAGAAAAACACTGTGCTGTGCACAAAAATGCAAAACACCACGCACAAATGTTGTGCGATTCTAAAATTTCACACCACAAATGTGGTGTGCGAAAATTTTTGTGCACATCTTAAGTGCACATCTTGTGTGCACAAACGAAACGCACATTTCACACGAGTGTGGTGGAGTGAAATAAAACTCGCACACGCATTCGGTGTTTGTGCCGAAGTTATTTCGCACAGCACATTGTGTGTGCGGCAGCCAACTTGCCCTCGCACACAACGTGTGCAGAAAAGAATACGAGAAGCACATTTTGTGTGCAGGCTCGAAAATAAAAATGCACCCAAATGTGCGGAGACGAAATGTCTACTGCACGTTTGTGTGAAATGATGATTTAAAAGCGCACAATATTATGACAAATATCGCAGCAAAATAGTACGGAAAACTGATTTGTATTAATTTTGGTCTTAATGCGAAATATTTTATTGAAGAAATAATTTTGTATTTATATTTTAATTTTGAATTTATTATTAGATTTACATTTATTGCTTATATTACTTATTTTTTTAAGGTTTATTAATTTAAAATATGGGAATAAAGTTAATTTCACAATGTACTTGAAAACTTTGTTATATTAAATAGGTACATGAATTTAATAGAGAAAGAGTATTTGTTTCGAAATGTTATAAGTAAAGAGGATCGGTTCTACGGATCGTACTTTGAAAAAATTAAATATATCAATTTTGGACTACTTCATAAAATTTTATTTAATAGTAAGTTGTACACTAAGATTCGTTAGTAAAGTTATAAAAAGCAAATTAAATATTTTTTACAACAACATGAATTAATTTTGTTATTAGATTTCAATTAATTTTTTATCTTTAATTACAGCTTAAATTTAACAAAGTTATTGAAATAATTTTATAATTTAATATCTTAATTTCTTATTATAAAATATATAATTTTTATTACAACTTTTTTTGAAATAAATTTTCATTTAATCTTATTAATAACATTGCTGAAATATTTTTTTCACTTAAATTATATCTCTGCTTACTTATCACAGTAGAAAGGGCGCTAAAATCCTGCTACCTGTTCAAGAAAATATTTTCTTAATCTTTCGCGTTTTTTAATGAATGTTAGATACTCTACCTATGTGAATACATATTTCTGGAGAAGAAAAATATCTATTTGTGGCCCTCCCGTATTATCTTTTTTAAACTGTTGCAAAATTTATTAAACAAATACACCAATACCAATACCTGCTACCTGTTCAAAAAAAATATTTTCCTAATCTTTCATATTTTTTGGGCATAAAAAAATCTTCCTAAAATATGTTTTTATTTTTTTTAAACTGGTGCAAAACTTTCCAAACAAATACTTTAAGTTCACTTACTATATTTGCATTTAAAAATGCACAAAGTAATATACAAAAAACTAATATTTTAAGTTAAAATACAAATAAGGTTACGACAGTTATAATTTTTAGTTTACATTAATTAACAAAAATAATTATTTTAAATATTTGTTAATTTATGCAATTTTTAACATAAATTACGATCCCAACGAACGCAAATATCAATTTTTTTCAAAATTTGCAACAAAATAATATTTTCTATTTCAAACAAAATTGTGAAGTTCCTGTAATTTTTTCCACCCTTGGGTGCAAGCGCAAAATCGCACATTTGTGCACGTTTGTGCATCGCACATTTGTGCACGTTTGTGCATCGCACATTTGTGCACGTTTGTGCAGTCGCACATTTGTGCACATTTGTGCAAACGTAATATGAGCAGCACACTCGTGTGCAAAGAGAATTTTTTGTCGCACAGTGCGGTGCGAGCATAAAATTTTCTCGCACATCTGATTGTGCACATTTTTAAAAATCAGTCACACAGCACAAATGTGTGTGCACGAATCTGTGTGCACAATCATCGCTTTGTGCGATGTGAAATTTAAAATCGCACAACAAATTTGAGTGCGTGCATTTTTTTTCTTAACACCACAAATGTGCGTGTGCATATTTTAAAAATAATTTCCACTCGCACAGTGCAGTGTGCGATTTTGTGCACCACATTCCGAACTCTGTTATATATACATGAAATAGAAAAGAGAAAGACAAAAGACAAAAAAAAACACAATAATAAGCGAAAATTGTATAAATGGGTTGGAGTTACATTCTTTCATCTTTGCAGCGAGTTCTCACACTCTATTTTTGGCGGCAATTCCTTCTGTACTTCTATCGCTTGCGCAAGCATTAACCTAGCAAAACTGTAATACGAAACGAGCACATGAAATTTGCAGTTGAGTAAGGACATGCTCAGTGCATTGTGGAGTGGGTGCATTGTTTGAATTGCAGCAGTAATGGAATATGTTGAATAGGGTTTTAGACTTAGTTTTCGAGTTATGGCAATACACACAATGCACAGTGGTTTTAATTTTTTTGAAAATTAGTATAAAAATTACAAATATATATATATTGTAAAATGTAGGACTTACTTACTCCAACGAATAATTTAAACTATTGTGTAAACCTTATAAAAGTATCTACTGAACATATCTAATAAACGAGTATCAAGTTTGATGCTTCTATGAAGAATTCCAAGAGCGGACGAGTCTAAGTCCCGGAGTTTGACCAAGTGCCGTTCGTCACAACCAAAAGGAACTACACAAACAAATCTCTGTGGTTTACAACAACAACAGCAACATGTTTTTATATAAAGAAGTCTCATTAGATATACCAATTAACATTTCTCTAGAAACCAGTAAAATAAACAATTACATTCACTTTCTTGAGCTAACTTATAAAGTGTGAAAGACACTAACAACATATGTAACATCATGGTCAATGTAACTCTTAGTACAATAAGATCAAATCATAGGAACTTATTACCTGTATATATATACGAATAGTACATATAGTACACATATACTATATAACAACTCACGCAGAGAAACTGTTAATTCATTTCAACACGTATTCTAGAAATTGTGAAGATTTAGACAAAAAATATATAATAACAACGTATATTCTCTGTGCTTACCCAGATTTCTTTAAAAAATTGAAAAATCGTTTTTGGAGAAGTACTCATTTAGATGGTATTATATTATCTGCTAACAATTAAACAATGTAAACAAACAAAAGGTCTTCTAGAACTTCACAGAATGTGAATGTCAATGGAGGAACCGGTTTTTAATCCCATTTCGTAGAAATGGTGTTATATTATTTGTTAACAATTAAAATGTGAACAGCTCTTTCACATGCATAAATCAAGCTATGACAATGGGAATGACCAAATTTAAAGTTGATTTAGTACATTAAAACAAGTTGATTTAGTTTATTTATTTTTGCTTTTATCCACGCGTATTTTCAGTGATGCACACTTATTTGTACTTTATGTGTATTTATGTATTTCTAGATTAGTACACTTGCTTTTACTTGATTTTTATGTTTACATATATTATATATCTGCTATATACTTTCTTGTCAGTTTATGAAACTAATCACATCGATAATGACAAAAGATCCACTAAATTACATTAACTCAACAGAATGGAACTTGTGCATCTTTAGGAATTCCTTGTTAGGAACATGGTATTACAACGGCAAATAATTGATAATTATGAGAGACGAAGGACATCTCTTGATCAGCCTCTATAATGTACCAATCAACGGTATTGTAGCAACTTGCAGAAGTAAGTGAGATATGTATATGATAATCCAACGATTGAAGAGTAATAAACCTAATAAATTGATCTTTAAAAAAAATTTAAATTGAAATTTAAAATCTATAAATGATATACAGAAATGTTTTAACTTGAAGGTAATGGGTATCTTACGAACGTAACTTACATATCACGTAAGATCGATCAGTGTTACTAAACAATACCAAGATCGGTTGGTCGAAAAAGAAGGAAAAAAAATAATCAGAAACATAAAAAATAATACAAATGATTGATCCGTTCCAACAAAGATTTGGACAAGATAAAAGTTCGCTATTATATGACACATTGGATTGTTTTATTCGTTACAATTTTAAACCAACGATTTACCTCCTATAACATTAAAAGAACTATAAATATCTATTAACGAAATTCTAAACACATGTGTACTACATTATTTTTAATGGATCAAAAAATTTAAGAAATTAACTTTCCTATTTTCTCTGCCTTTCTGACCTAATAGCATTTTATATACATACATATATGCATATAAATGTTACTCATGCCTTTACGAAGTGTAAATATTATTAATCAATTAGTGAAATTAATTGTAATGTCTTTACATACAACATCTTAATTTTATTTTATGTTATCATCGAGTATGAGTTGTCAAATCTAACAATATAATATTCTCTAAAAGAATCTAAACCAATTTAATTAATTAACAAATCAATTGAAGTTTTTTATTATTTAATATCTTTTGATTAAATATGATCAATTTTGTAAAAATATTATGAAGAATTTCAGTGTTTGTCAATGTGTTTTGCGGTATTAATAATTTTTACCCACACTGGGGTACCCTAAACGAATCTAAATCGAATTCATTCTGAATATGTTTTCAATTATATTATAATATTTCCATTACATGCGAAATTTCCTAAGACCGTTTTTTTTAATTTTTAAAAATTACATCTAAGGACGTGTGCGAGTTAGGCTAAGTTGCGTTCTAAATGAGGAAAATTCTAAGTTGTGTCGATAATGTAGTGATGTGTCGATACCTGTTGATAAATGGCTAAATGTGTGCAGTGCAAAAAATCCCAAGAAAAGTCCCATTTGGTTTAGCATCAACTTAGCCTAACTTGCACACGTCCTAATTATCGGACAGTTTAAACTTTTGGCACATTACCCCACCAACAATTACAGACTAGATATTCTTAATAAAAACATTAAGTCAACATCAATTATAAAGTAAACCCTTT